AAAAAATATGAAATCATCAAGCCAGGTTCTATTTCCAACCACATCAATGCTTAACTATCTCAGAAACATACATGCTTTTACAAAATCTTCCAAGTGGCAATTACGCAGCACAGGAATTCTTTTAAATCTCTCCAAATTCTGAAGTCAAGAATTTCATCCAGGCCTCTACACTGCATTCTTTTATTAAGGGTAAGTTCGTTTCTTAAAACTATAATTTCTAGAAACAAAGACCAAATGCTCCCTTTTTTGCATACCATGAAAGAAAAGGATGCAGTGAAGGCCCAGTGGACCCTTATCATTCCTTACACTCAAATAATTTTTTTTCTCTAGCACTTTTATCCTGGAACCCTGTGCCACTACCTCTTTGGACCTCTTCTTGAACTGTGACCAGCCTCCCCTCTTTCCAGATCTTGTTATCAACATCTGCCTGGTACTGTGGAATTCCCACAAACCTTCTCCTTCCCTGTGAATGGAACCTGTTAGAGAGCCTGTCCAGCAGAGTGAGGCACAAAAAGCCATTTAGGACTCAGGATCAAGGATTGTAAGTACCAGTCTGCCCACTAGTTGAGTGAGTCTGAACCCATCTGGCTATCTCTGGGCAGTAATTTACTAACTACATATGTGCAAATAAAAGAGAATAACTTAGATTTCTTTAAGCATTAGCATCTAAGGCGCTATAATTCTACAAATTTAACGATGATAATTTTAGCATACTGCAGTTTTTTAGCTATAATGCTTTGCTGAGGTCTCAAACTTATTTCAATGCTCATTAATTCATTTGCCAACTATTTATTTAGTAGTGTTAAGCATGAGACAGCATGTTATGTTTTGGCTCTACATTGGTCAACAGAGGCATGTTCCTTAAGTTTTGAGATTTACCAATTTAAGAATAGTAATTTTTTTAAAAAGCAAGAAAATAAATATAACATTTCCCCTGTTCTAAGTACTATGAAACATAGAGGGAAGGAATGAGAGAGAGGGAGACAAGGTGAGAGAGGAAATGAGATGGAGAGACAGAGACAGAAAGAGACATTGAGAGGGTGCAGTGGCATGTCCACTCTGAAGCAATGGGGTTTCAAGCCTAGGTTTCTAGAGATGGGAAGGAGCCTGATGTTTGAAGATAGGAGCAAGCTTGTTTTATGAAAAGAATGATATGTGTAGAAATACAGACGCATGATAGTTTTTGGTGTGTTGAAGGAACAAAATAAAAGAGACCAAAGGATCTATAAAAGTGGAGATGGAAGAAGAATAAAGTGGCATCTCTTTCCTTATCATGTTCACCTGAATGCAACGTAGGAAACCAGTGGTTTCCAAACTTGTCTGCCCATTAGTAATCTTCTAAGATTCCCAAAACTCAGGCTCCTCCAATCAAGTCACAAACTCATGAAGTGAAACACTGATGTAATTTTTTTCAAACTTCCAATTACTCCATAGTGTGTATAGACTTAATATCACTGACGCACCAATTTTAATACTTAAATGCCTGTTTTATATATCTTTAAAATGATACAGTCCCACTGAAAGAGGTCAGGTCTCCTTGTTTTTTACTTAGGTGACCTCTAGAAGTAGATCGAGTCACTTTTATCACTTCTTACTCTCAAATCTTTTTTTTTTTTTTTTTCTCTATCACTTTTATGCTGGAACCCTGTATTTTTCCAGCCAGGAAGGATTCTTGAAATCCTTAGAATTTTGATGCTTTTTTGCACAGTTTCCATAAATCAAGAAAGGTCTTTTGACCCAGTGTCTGCCCTTCAAGAGCCCCCTTCCCTTTTTTTTTTTAACCTGACTAACCACACAGGCAGTATCACGCTTCAATTCATCTTGCCCTAATGACCTCTGAGCTGAATTCTGATCTAAGCTAATTTGTCCTTCCTTCCTGAGGAACTTGGTGGCCCCTCCACTCCCTGACACCCAATAGGCATAGTGCACTGCAGCCCAGAACTCCTGGACTCAGGTGATCCTCCCACCTCAGCCTCTGAGTGGCTAGGATTACAGGTGCAAGCCACCATGGCTGGCTGGGCTGAATTCAGACTGCTTACCTAAACCATATCCATCTTTCAAATCCCTGCTCAAGTGTTGCCTTCCCTAGGAACACTTGCAAACAAGCCTGTGTCTGTGACAATCTGTAACGTTTTACGGTCCTCATAATCCAAATGTTTCAATTTGTAACTTTACTATTTACAGGCATATATTGCACATTAGTTTTATGTCACCAAATGAATATTAAATAAATAAAACAGACACATTTTTTTAATCGCTTACACATATTAAGGGTTCAAACAGTGGCAGGAGCAATGATAGCATTAGTGTTGATAGTGAAAGTGGCAGTGACTTTGGCAGTGGTAGTACGGTAGTAATAGTACAACCCAAGCTCCTTGTTGGGCAGGCACATTGTATCCATTGTCTTATTTAAACTAAAACAGTCCTACAAAACAGATTTTAGTCTCTCTACTTTACAACTAAGAAAGCTGATCTTGTAGAAGTTGAGAGTGAGTAAGGGAGGTTCACTGAGGGCACTAAATTACAGTGAGATAAAAGTAAAGGTTCTGCTGTGCTACTGTACAATCGGGTGTATAGAAAACAATTATGTAGTTAGATTCTGACTATTCTCACCATAAAGAAATGATAAAAGAGAAAATTGATATGTTTAAAATGATATAAACATTATACAAGGTATACATGTGTAAAAACATACAACGGTCCATTAACATGCAAATTTGTGTGCTTTTTTATGTATCGGTTAAAATAAATTAAAAAATAGTGGCACAGGAAGTTAAAGGAATTTAGGGGGATTACATTACTGTGCAATGCACATTACTTCCTTATAAGACTTACAATAAGTGAATGTAGATTAATCAGTTGACTGATATAAATCATTGCCTGTTACAGAGGATTCCCAAAAGAAAGTCCAGGGACTGTCCACTTTTTTTTGCCAACCTGTGACCACCATTACTGGACCATAAACAACATATATGAGGTAAGACATGCTCCATCTATTTATAAATAAAATCCTTCTCTTTTTTTCCACTTAAAGGCATCTACTATAACAAACATGCCAGTAGGTGCCTCTTTCTCCATCCACAAGGAGAGAATGATTTCTCTGAGTTTTGGGTCACCAAATCTCAGCCTGCAATGTTGGAAGCAGAAAATACTGATTATCACTCAAAGAATTACAAGATTTAGAAGTTTATCTAGAAAATTATAGAGCCATTTTATGTGTAGAATTAATAACTGAAGTCAAGAGTGACTCAGAATCTTAAATATTTTCTCTTTTCTTGCCTTAGTTTTTCAAAAGCAAACACTTGATTTTGGCTGCTGATAAAGTAATCAATATATGAAATACACAATATCAAAATTTCTGATTGGACTTGCATTGGCTATCCTGATAGAGAACAAAATTGCTACATCAACAGAAATAATTATCAGCATCTTTGTAAGATTAACTTGCTTGGAAAAATAGTACTGTGTAGAAATATAAATAAAAGTGAGTAAAAGAGTGAGGAAAGAAACAATTTATGGCAAGGCACCAATCAAAGTTAAGATTAAAGAGTATATTTAAATCCCTATGTTATTACCGGGTCATTTTAAATTTAACATCTTATCAAGAAGTATCTATCTGTTACCCATATACAAAAAAAGAATCATATGGAAAAATAATCCAAAACTTAACTCCTAGAAGTTACTCCTATTTATTTCAGAAATGTATTACTTAACTTATTTTTTGTGTATTTGAATTCATTTTTCTAGGTAATTCTGATTTTGGTTAGTATTATAACAAAGTCTCTCAAAATGGAAAATTACTAAACAGTTTGCAATGGCTGTCCATTGTGTCAACTTGAGAAGTTTAGAAGGTTAACTAAGCCTCCCTCAGTTGTAAACATCTTGAGCCTGTGCAAGAGGAGGGCAGGCAGATTTTATTGACTGCTACCTCCACCCTGCTGGCAATACAAGAGAGGAAAAGAGGCTTGATCTACCCAGTTTTGCTCTTTGTGCTTTTACTGTTTCTTGCCACCTTGTAATGTTACCCCTGTGCCATATACCACCCTGACTTGGAGCCAGCTGATTATGGACTGAAACCCCCACAAACTGTAAGCTAAACAAATATTTTCTTGCTTAATTTTGGGTGCTGGGTATTTTATTTCTCTCATTTAGCAATGAGAGAAAAGTTCTAAGAAAAGTTTAATTAAAAAATAAGTCTGTAAGATATAAAAGTGGTAAAATTCAATCCATCACTGAATCTCTCATCTTGAGTCCTGAAGGTGAAGGAAAGTTTTCCTTCTTATAACAGAAGTTGTTCACAAATTTGTAATAAAACTGTTTTTCATTGTTGGGAATTGAATCTAGAGCTTCAAAGTACTGAAGAATATTCTACCACTGAACTACAACATTAAATTTAAATCATTTTTAAAAGACAAATTATCCACAGGTTTGCCTTCTTTTTTTTTTTAATCCTAAAATTCCCTAAATAAATTTACAGAGCCAAGAGGTCTTGAGATTGACTGTATGTCAATATATTTACACACAGCCAAGAGGGCAACATTTTGTGTTGGTACATGAAAGCCAGTCTTCCCAGATCAAGTTTACAAAGGAATTTTTTGTGTATTCTTCTCTATTTTATTTTTGGCTTAAGGGAGATTTGAATCAAATAACCAGCTGGCAATGTATACAAAGACACTTAAAACAGACATGTGAAAGTTTGTATCAAGTATGAAAAAAGACAGAGTTGCTAAAGTTTTTGTTACCTCTTTAAAAGCTTAAAAAGTTCTAGCTTGCAAAATAATTATATTAAAAATCTGTCCTAATTTCTGGGAATATTGACAACTGAGCTTATTACTATATAGTAAGATGACAATTCAATGTATATCTACTAGTTGACAAAATAATCATAACATTACAGCATTGAAAAGGACATATATTTGTATAGATGCTTTTCTTATGAGAAGATCATACACGATGAAATTGTTATATGAAAAAAATGTATGAGCACACAGGATCCTTACCTTTTCAAGTAAGGCATTGCCTTGGTGAGGATTGACGTTATGCTGGCTTATTTCTCTCTTATATTTATATTCATAAACTTGGTCAGTAATATTAACCAGAAGAGTTGATGGACTGAAGTTCAGTTTTCCACAGTCATAGACAGTTCCACTTTCAATATCAGTTGGTGCTGTGGCATATCGTAAAATTAATCCCATTATGAGACCTAAAGTAAAGAATAAATAATTTCAGTATAGGAAGGCAACATAAAATGTCCACTTTTACATACTTTTAAATGTATGACTTGGAAATTTTAGAACTGCTAAGGCAAAGAGTTGGGTCATTTGCTCATGGATACCAGCTCAGTGGAATGTATCATTAATACTGTATACCACTGCTTCAATAGTCAGCATGTATTTTCTACCTATAAGACCATAAATTCTATATAGAAAAGATACCTGTACAACCCATCCAAGAATGTCAAGAAAATCTTTCTATGATAGAAACAAGCTACTCTAACCAATCAGGGGATGGAATATTTACGCTCTGCAGCTCTGCACATATCTAAATTAGTTCCTCCAGGTTAAAAGGAAGCATTTATAGTCCCTGTCTATGGTAAGAGGTTAAGCAGGTGTCTTGTTTCTCTCTCTCTCTCTCTCTCTCTCTCTCTCTCTCTCTCTCTCTCTCTCTCTCTCTCTCTCTCTCTCTGTGTTGTGTGTGTCTCCAGGACCAAGGCAGTATTTTATCCATTTTTACTATCAGGCATTTTGGCACCATAAAGGAATTTAATTCAAGGACACAGTCAGCATACAGATGGTAGGACCGAGACACTCACAGACTTCAACTCCTACATGATGATATCTTTGAGCCACTGAACCTACCAACCATATTCACAGCTACACTAGTTGTAGTTTTAGATTTTTTGATATGCAACATAATACGTTCTCTAATTTTTCACAAAAATTTGAGTCACCTTTCTGCTTACAGTCAAACGCATTCTAATGATACAACAGTCCTTTTCATGGTGAGTTGAATCCAAGTGATAATCTTTGATTTTTAAATGGATAAACTTGTTAGGTTGTGATGGGTTCCGCCCCTGTGAAGCGCTGCCAGGCTCCTTCCCAACGTGGCACTGCACAGTGCCTGCCTTCAACACTGACTTCTGCGTTCTCCTTCCAAGCCCAAAATCAAACTTCTCACTTTTCAAGCACACCAACACTCTCCCAATCAGCTGTCAATACATCATTCTGCCCGCCCCTTCAAACTCCACCCCCTGTCAAACTGAATAAAAGCTCGCGGCCTCTTTGTCTGCCCTGACGGAATCTTGCACTCTACCTCAGCCCTCCCATGCCTACGATAAAGGCCTTTTTCTTTTTTCTTTTCTTTACCCTTGATTTTCGACTGCATCAAGGAAAAACCTATCAAGTTGCTCATTGTAATCTGATAATTGTGAGCCTTTTAAAGAGGGATTTACTAAAAAACAGAATTTTTAGAGGCCTTAATAGGTCTCAGTTTAAAATTAAGGTCAATGTACGCATTTTGTGATTTAAAAAATCCACAGTTCATTCTTTAAAACATTAAATTTTAAAGTTTTATGTTTCTCATGAATCTAATATGATCTATGAATCACTATGACCTAATAAGCTTCCATTATTTAATAAGACGTTTGTTAGGTTCATGTCTTCTGCCAGAATTTTATAGATTTAAAATATACAGTGCCTCTAGGCATGGTGGTTCTTGCCTGTAATCCCAGCACTCAGGAGGCTGTGGTATGAGGATTGTTGAGAGTTTGAGGCCATCCTGGACTACAAGGTAAGCTTAAGGCCAGCCTGAACTGCATAGCAAACTGTCTCAAAAAAAAAAAAAATCTCATTCCTGATTGGGTTAAAAATCAAAACAGCATTCCTGATTCTACAGGAGTTCAAGTTTATATACTTGAACAGATTTGCAAACAATAATACTGCATAACACATGTTCCGACAGCTAGGAAACACTGTGTTATGGAGAGGAAACACTCTGAGGCCCTTTGAATTATGCAAAACTTCAGATGATTCTTAAAGTTCACATGACATTTGCCTACTTAAACTGAATGAGAGAAGAACCTGGAATGCCAGCTGCACACGTGAGTGGCAGTATGTAATAACAAACAGCTGTAAGTCCACCAGGACCTCACTCTCTCCATGTGTGGGACTCTTGTTGGGAAGTGACTGCTAAGCCTAGTCTTTGTTTTCTGCTTGTCTTGCATTTGGCCAGTTATCAAAAACAGAATACAAGCAAATGTGACACGTGACTCCCTCTGGGCTACAGCACTGAAGTAGGTAATGATATTGTTACCACTCTTTTCTCTCTTCTATTTTGTATTAATTGGATGAAAACAAATCAAATCTTAAATCTTAAAGTAGACAAATCATAAAGTAGACAGAGTCTCTAAGTTTAAATAGCCTGAGTCCCTGAGATAACAGGTGGAGGAAAGCTGTCTATGAATCATGGATACTTACACTGGGCTACTGCATGAAAAATTAATTTCTAATGTATAGTCATTGATATTGATGTGTTGGTGTTTCTATGTTAGTAATCATTAATGGTAGTCTAATGCAGTGTATATACTGAGAGACTTCAGACATCTGGTGTATACTTGTAGTGTAAAAATAAAATAAATGGAGAGAGAAAAGAGAAATGCTAGACTGTGTAGGCTATAGGTAAGGAATTAAGGCCAGGTCACAAATAAATGTCTCTGCTATGTTGTTTTGATTTTTAACCCAAAGGTAATATAGAACTATTGAAAGATTTTAGGCAAGAGAGTAAAACAATCAAGATTTTCACATAAAAATGGTCACTTTGGCAACAATATGAAGAACTAGAGTGACAGGTAAGAATGAAAACAGATTTCCTTCAAGAATACTTTATCTTACTCATTCTTATTTCAGTATTTGGCCCATTCTTCCATAATAGTGAATGTGTTATATCCTGGGTTTTTTTTTTGTTTGTTTTTGTTTTTGTTTTTTGTTTTGTTTTGGTACCAGGGATCAAACTTGTGACCTCACACTTGCCAGGCAGGCACTTACACTGCTGAGCTAAACCCCTAGCCCTATCCTAACTTTTGTAGGCAAGAAAAAAATAAGTGACAGACCTGTAGCTTTCCCTGAATATGTAACTTTCCATTGAGCAATAGGAACCTCCAGGAACCCTGTTGAATGAAATGAATTAGGAAAGAGTAGGAAGATGCATCATTGGTATTCCAAGTGTTTTGGGGTGCTTGTGTAAGAATACCACTTTTTAAACATTTACGTCCTAAAAATTATTCAGCAAGCACTATGAATGATACTGTTACCACTCTTTCTTACTCAAGAGAGATACAAGGAGAAGTCAAAGGTAGTATTAGCATGGGGTCTGAATGGAAAAACAAATCCATATTAATGACACTTAAAATTTCCAGTCAGTATGCTGGACCTAGTGGTGCATGCCTAGAAGCCCAGCTAGAAGCCCAGGATCATCATGAGTTCGAGACCAGCCTTGGCTACACAGTGAGTTAAAGGCCAGCCTGTAAGACATAGCAAGACTCTGTCTCAAAAAACCAAACACAAATAAATAGATAAATAAACAAACAAAACTTCCAGTTGGTGAGTCATTTATTTTTACAACATGAAGTATCCATTGTTATTTTTCAACTGGGAAAACCAAATCTTTGTCATAATATTTAGTGCCTTAATGTGATTAAATTCACCAAGGCCACAAAACTTAGTTCTCTCTGGCCCTCTGCACTATCTCTGGTCCCAATCTTCAAAAAGCAGACAGAAGTAAATGGATGAGCTGCATGCATCCAAAAGTGGCCAGATACATTAGTCCTAAAGTGCACCTCTCAGATAAATCTCTCATGATAAGTGCAGTTGATCAGTGGTCTCAGCTCATGTGCTCTGGAGTTCATCACCACCGTCCCTCCATTCTCAGGCAATGACTAAACATTGTAGGGCTAATAAGGCAGGGAGATAGAGACTCCTCTGAAGGACAACCATGACCCACGGTCATGTCATAACCTTTCTTAGAATTGCTATAGCCTAAAGAACTCCTGCTCAGCCTTTCTTTCTTCTCCCTGTCCGTAAGGACGGACAGCTATTCCAGAATCCTCAGGGTCCCTCCGCAATACCTCTCAAATAATTTCACTCCACTAAATCAATTTAATGATCTTTTTCAGCATCCAGTGTTAGAAGCTCAACTTAACACAAAAGCTAAAAAGCATTGGCCCTTATTTTCCCCCAAATCCAAAGCAATGAGAACAATCAATGTCTTGGCAGATTGTGAAGGTCAGTGGGAAAAACCTCAGCCTCTTTGTACACTGGTTGTTACATCCAGATGCTCATTTGTGTACCTTTGCCACAGGAGCAAAGACTGGAAAATTGTTACTTGTCAAAGGCCAGGCATTTGCCCACAGTGCTTCCTAATGCTTTTTATAGCCAAATTCAGTGTTTGGCCATAAGTTGACACAAATATAGGATGCCAAACTGATGCACAGTAGCACAACACTATATGATAATGGAAGATTCGGGGGATTCTAATGAGAAGGGGGTGTTTTTATACACACTCAAGGTTACAAGACAAAGAAAGAATCAGGCATTTTTGTACAGAAGGAAAAAAAGAGACTGGCTGTTGTGGTCTATCAGCACAAAACCACTATTCTCATTGCTAAACCATGAAAACAGAGTCATACTTTCCAAGAGAGAGAAGACCAAAGCTGCTTCCACAAAGCAATACCCATGCAGTACATATATGCATAGCCCCGACCCCAGGTTGTGTCCACACACATAGCATGCACCCTCTTGCCCATTACTGGCATTGTCTTCTCCAGGAAGAATCTCTATTTCAGCTATATCTCTTGCTTCTTCAATGCTGGGAACTGGATACTTAGGGTAGCACACTTAGGGCTGCTCTCTGTGGAACAGTGATCTCCCTCCAACAGCATATGAGCCCTTTGTGGAGACTGAGCAAAGAACTTCATCTCTAAAGCACTCACTGTCCTAACTTCTTCTGAGGTCCCACCTGGGGAATCTGTGCCCTGTTAGAATCGGTGCCCACCAAGCACCTTCATGTTTGAGGTCTTAAAGTACCTAGAGCTTGAACTATACACTTTAAGAGCCAGTTTTATCAAATCTTATGTTGTTTATGGTGCTCCACAGACTCTAGGTTTGTTTCTTTGAACATACAGTGAGACTGTTCAGTGCAGAGACTGTA